ATTAACGAGCAGCTGAAGATGCATACCTAATTAGTCCTCAAGTGACCCTTATCCAACTAAATCACTGCTAGGGTTTTGCGATGGTTCTTGTTCTGCCTCTAAGGGATCTCTGGCCTCAAAAAGTTTTACAACTCCAACTTTACATGACTGTGGTCAATTTTCACATATTCTGACATTTTACTGGGCAAATAGTCGTTTTTATTCACAAAACAATTAATAATGAAAAATCATAACCTGCAGCCAAATTAGAAATGGAGCTTTTGGGGATTTGGGGGGATTGTTTTGCATATTGAAGGACATCTGACTCATTTTATTTTTAATGAATTAAGGGAAATGTTCACTCCTAATCAAACAATGTTTAAAAAATACCAATAAGTAGAAATCCTTTGTGCGATCACTCCGACCACATTTATTCATATACAAGCCAAACACGAGGGCTCAGGTTTTTACAAAAGGTAGGGTGTGAAGTGAGGAAAAACTGTTTGCTGCATAAATGGAAGTGATGAAAGAAAATCCAGAGGGTGAGAAGGAAGTCTAAAGATAAAAGCTCACCATAAAAGTATTCATGGTGCATTAGAAGTCAGTCAGAGCCAGAAAAATACTTTATTCAAACTCTGAATGTGTCTTTCTTTGTTGTTTAGATCCCCATTAACTGCATTGCCACAGCAACAGTATCTGCAGCATGTCAGTGAAAATGATGCACATCACGTCCGACATCCCCTCTCACAAAAAGACTCGGCAGTAAACCTCCCAGTGAGACAAAACTGTAATCAGAAAGCAGTAATCACTCTGAAGTAAAGCAGAATAGGTCACTTTCTTGATAAGCACCGCATGTTTTTGGAGAAATAAAAGTTTAATATCATTAGCTGCTTGATTTATTGTGTGAAAACTTCAAGACAAATTATTGTTCTTTGTGTTAAACAAAATTTACACAGGGGGGGAAAACAAACTGAGTGCACTCGGCTCCAAACCCCAAATCCTTTATTGAGTGTTCAGCTATGCCAAATACAAAAACAAACAGAATAACTGGCTTCTTATTTATTGTTGGGGAAGAGCATATTCCAGCTAAAAACCATAATCAGCATAATCTGAAAAATCTCACCAGGTGAGGCTCACACCGAGGACCACAATGACGTGACAGAAAGACTGTAAATGTCGCCCTGTGTGCGAGTAAACCACACAGGACGACATCATTACTAAGTAATTTGTCATTGTGCACAGTTACACCTCCTCTATGTCTTTAAAAATTGTGTAAGATTATATATTAAATTACATTAAACAACCCAAAAGGGATTATTGATTAAAAACTTCTCGCAAAACATTAATGTTTTGTTTGTTTCAGCTCACAGCTCGAAGCCCAATGTCATTCATTCTCCCCCAAAATAAATAGAAGAGTACTCACATTATGTAGCAGTTATGTGAACAGGCCAAAGTCATTTGTATATTTCATCACAAATTAATTACTGATCACAATAAAAGAGACTTAAAAATAAGCAGGGTGGCATGGTGGTGTGGTGGTTAGCACTACTGAAGGTCCTGAGTTCAAATCCTCCATCTGGCCGAGTGTAGTTTGCATGTTTTCTCCGTGTTTGCATGTGTACTCCGGCTTCCTGATAAGGAGGAGAATGGATGGATATTGTTGATATACTTTCAGTATCTGTTAGGGATGGGTATCGTTTAGGTTTTATCCGATACCGGTGCCAAACCGGTACTTTTGAAAC